GTGAGGCCAAACCCTTCAGTTTTAGTATCTGTCCTTGTATCTAATTGCTTTCCTCGAGTCAATGTTCGTTGCCACCACTTGTAATATTCACCACTTGCTGCCTTTGTTGTTTGCTGTTCCCTCGCTTGTTTTCTTCCCTCTTCCATCAGACTTCCTCTCTACTTCCTGGCCTGAGTGTTGCTGTGGTTTGCCTTTTATGACTCTTAAAAGGCACTGAAGTATCTCTATTCTTTCTGAACATTAAACCAAGAGACCATTAAGTGCCATCCTGGACCCAAGCCAATCAGGTTTCGCTTCAATGGCTTAAAGCTGGACGCCCTGGTTGTTTTTCTTCTTTTTCCCGTTAGACACACTTTAAAAATTCCCCGCGCCCCCCCTTTAATCCTCTGGGTTCCATGCCACTCCAGATGTATAAGATTACTAGAATTTTGGCCTCTGGGATAACTGAGGTGTTGCTACAAAACATATAGGTTTACTCTTTAACAGTTAGGAATGTGCTAGAACAATAGCATTTCTTGTAGTTAGAAGTTAAAAAAAAATTTCCAAATTGTTGAAAGCTGCATGTTATCAGAATTGCTTTTCTGGCTTTCTTTTAATATAATTTATTCTCTATATTACTTAACTTGGCTGCTGTTTTATAGGAGTAACTATTTTTCTTTATTTAACAGGAAAATGCTACTGCTGAGTACGTACGAGAGTATCATTTCTTTTTCTGTGTGTGGAGAAGGATTCTGCTACCTGGTCTAAGGTACCTGAAAGGTCACCGTGTAACAGCTCCCAAAACAGTGGCTGGCACAAGGACCTCTGTGAAATTCACCTGGAACCCTGCCCTGTTCCTGATGACGCATGCTGATGGACAGGGGCAAACTGTAACTTCAGTCACTCTAGAGGGATAATAGTTCCAGTCTGTTCCATCTGATAAGGATGGAGTGATAGAGCAGCTGAAGATTCTTGTACAATTATGAAACACTTTAGTCACTGAAGGTGCGCATCAGTGGAGAAGATTTGGGAGCTTGCCAGAAAACTGGTGTAAGGGATTATTAACTCAGATAATAATTTAAAACAAAACAGTAATGTTGTCTTTCTACATGCAGAACCCCTCCACTCTGTAATCCAGATGTGTCCAGGGGTGACTCTAACACACCCATTAGTGGCAATTATCTTGGAGCCAAACCGTTCTTGCTCAGCTTAAGGTTAACTGTTAAGAAGGCACATCTTTCTTGGCAATGTCCCTGCCACCACCCTCAGCCACCACAGACAGGGTGCACTCTACAGCTGCTCATCTGAGCAGAAAGCCCTCCCTTACCTCTGTCGTTCATGGCTGGTTTTATGGGGGACTGGTGCCCACTCTGACTTTTTTGCTGCACTGCAATACTGCACCACCGGCAAGAAAAGTGGCAAAAGAGAACAAAACCTAATCTCTTTCCCTTGAGCAAATATTCCTTTTGTAATATTCCCCCACTCCTAGACTTACTATCCTACATTTTTCTTCGGGGAGCTGAATTGCTCTGCTTAACCTAGTAACATAACTGATCAAAGCCTTCCTCGAATTCCCCTCATCTTTCCGGAGTCTCTGTGGCCAACCTCCAGAGCCTTTCTACACTACTTTAAAAAGGGGTTACATGTGAAAATTGTGTTTATTTTATTTCCTCACTCATTTTAATATAAATGTAACATCCATTTTCACCAATTATAATTCATCAACAATACGAGGAGTTTAATTTTAAGCATTTTCATTTTGGACCTATAGACTACAGCTTCTTAACTGCAACATTAGTGACATTTGTGCCGGATAATTCTTTGTTGTGGCAGGTTGTTGTGTGCTTTGTGGGAATTTTATTAGCAGCCCTGACATCTGCCTTTTAGATGCACACTCCCCTGCTTTGTGACAACCAGACATGTCTCCAAACATTGCCACATGTTCCTTTGGGGCAAAGTCACCCCGAGATTGAGAGTCGCTGATATAAACCAACTATTAACCTTTTTGTCAATGAAGATATAGCAGGCAGAAGCATCATTTTTTCCTTGGGTGTCTAAAGGAAAAAAAGAAAAGAAAGTAGGTTTTGGTCAGACATGGTCTCTGTTCTTTCATCAGTTCCTAAAAGCATTTTTATAAATGTTTTCTGGGCAAATTTTCTCAGATCAATCCATTGCTATCTGTTCTCTTGCCCAATGCTTTACCTAAATGACAGTATACGAAATCTATTTTATACACAGGATCTCATTTAATTTCCACAGTGATAAGATGTGGTACTCACAGCCAGTTAGCTGGGAAGCAGCAGGGTGTCATGGAAAGGAAGATTTGGAGAAAGACAGGCCAGAGCTTCAATTCTGGCAGCCCTGTTCACTGGCTATGAAAACTTAGGATAGATACATGAATTATGTGTAACTGAATCACTTTGCTGTATACCTGAAAGTATCACAACATTGTTAATCAACTATACTCCAATATAAAATAAAAAGTTAAAAAAAAAAAGAAAGAAAGAAAAGTCAGGCCAGTTCTTCAGCTTCTGTGCCACTCAGTTTTCTCTTGGAAATGTCCGATTACTATCTTGGAGAAATGTTGGGTGAATTAAAATGAGGAGAGATGTGTGACAATATATCTCACTTAGTGGAGGCTTAAGCAGTGATAGCTTTTTGTATTAGAACACCAAGACCAGAGCTTTGTGGACTACCCCACAGCTGCATGTTGAAGCAGCTTTCTCAATAGCAGCAGATTTTGCCCCCATTCTGTCACAGGCCTCTTTAGGGATCTGATAAATAGAAAAGTCCTCAAATGCAACACAATTTCAGGAGATTTCCATATTCCCCAGAAGTGTATATTAAACCCAAGGGATGAATCCCTCTAATGAGAGCCTTCTGATTTCACCTTTTCTTCTAGTTGACTCAGTAAGTGATACAAATTGTTTTCCTTGCCCATTGCTTTAAACTGGCACCCCCTTCTAGGGAAACAAATGGGTTCCAAGTCCCCTGATGTTAGTGGTTGGCCAACAAGGCTTTGAAATAAGCCATTGGTCTGGTAGAGAGCAAACAGGCTTGCTAATTTCCCAGCAATAGACATTTAGCATCAGAGAGAAGTAAACCTTTGACGTGTTAAACCCCTCAGATACAGAGGTTGCGTATTACTACAACATAACCCAGTCTAGACTTCACTTCCTATTTCAGTGAGAAAATAGAGGCAATCAGAAGAGAGCTCCACAATCTCCCACGACCACAACTGCCGTTAATTAGTCACCATATATTCTCCCTTCCTCATGTTTTATGGATGAATGCTTCACATTCCTAAGACCAATCTTTCATCTTGTACCCTAGATTGTATCCTCTTCTATCTACTCAAGGCCGTCATTCCAGTATTTCTCTCCTTTGTCTCCTACAGTACATCATTAATTTTCCCTCTCTACTAGATCACCTCCATCAGTAAACAAAAATACTGTAACATCTCCTGTCTTAAAAAGAAATCTTTCCTCCAGTAGCCCCACTCATTTTAAATGAGTTGCATTTCTCACTCCTGTTCTCTCTGGAACCATCTCCAGGTAGGGTTCTGCTTGCCCCAGCAGACCAAAGCTGCTCTTGTCAAGGTCAGTAGTGACAATGAATTTGCTAAATCCAGTAGTCAAATCTGTCTTTATCTGATATAATGTTGACTTAATTGATCACATTCCTTCCTTCTTGAAGTATTTTCTTCATCTGGCCTCCAGGACACAACCACCTCTTAATCCTCTACTGGCCACTTCTTTCTGGTCTCCCAAACTCTAAACTTTGGTTTGCCTGAGACCTGAGGCTTCAGACATCTTTTCTTCATCCACACTTTTCCACCAGGTGGTCTCATCCAGTTGCTTGGTTTTACAAACCATCTTATGTGCTGATGACACAAAGTCGTCACCTTTCCCCTGACCTCCCGATTTATCTCTCTACTAGGATCTCTAATAGGTATCTCAACATGTCCTAAACTAAACTTCTGATTCCTACCCTTCCCCACAACCTACTCTTCTTGCAGTTTTCTCTGGCTCAATACATAGCAACTCCATTCTTTCAGTTGGTCAGGCCAAGATTGGTGGAGTCATCCTTGACTCCTCTCTTTCTCTCGTACCCCATGTCCAATCTGTCACAAATCCTGTTAGTCCTACCTTTAAATTGTACCCCAAATTTAACATCTCACCACCTCCACTACTCGAATCCTGGATTAAACCAAAATCATCTCCCCAAAGAATTACTTCAATAGACTCCTAACTGGTCTTCCAACTTGCTTCCTCCCTATACAGTCTATTCTCCATGTTACCCTCTCTCATTGAGTCCTTCAGTATGCATGTCACTAAGTGCCTTTAAAAACTGGTACCATCGTTTTTTGATAGAATTAGGACAGATAGTTGAGACAGGCCCTGACCAACTTTTGGGGATTCTTCAGCACTTGAGGTGTCAGGGGGTTGTGATTTCAACATGGAATTGTATTCACTCCCTAGCCATTTATACTAACCTCTAAAGTTCTCTAGCTATGGCTAGCCTCCAATCCTTACAGTACTTTTGTCACTCCTAACTAATGTCTCCCTTCCAAAGCATCTTCCTTGTGCCTCTGTTAAAATGTTTATAGATTGCTCGCCTTGAAGTAGAGTTCCTTATCTCTCCCTCTAGTCAGAGGTTGAATTGCTAAAAGGCAAGATTTTGGTGCATTATGGCATAACCTTCCTCCACCTCCTCGGCACCCCAACCCCTCTGTCCCTCCCCAAGGAACTGCAATCCCTTTAAAAGTTTGATGGAGTTCAGCTGAGCGGAGTTTAGCAAACAAGTAATGCATACCTAGATGCTCCAAGTACAGTGCCTCTGCCTTGGATGGTGCAATGCCCAACTGCAGCCACTACGGCCAGGAAGGTGGAAGACTGGACAGAACAGTCGGAGAAAACCAGGGTGAGGAAATGGAGGAAGAGTAAGGAGAGGAGGAGAGGGAAGGAGGGGTAGGGAGGAAGAATGGGAGGAGCTTCAGTGGGAGGGGCTTCGGGGGGAGGAGCTTCGAGCGGCGGTCGCGCTGCTGGCTCAGACCTGTCGGGATCGGTGGCCGCATGGCTGCGCCTATCTCGGGCCGCGGGGCCCGGGACTTGCTGCAGTTCCTGCGGCTGGTGGGGCAGCTCAAGGTGAGCGGGCGCCGGGAGGGCCGCCTGGGGCCCGGGTCGCGGCTGCGCGGGGAGAGGCCGGGGCCGGCCGCGGGGCGACGAGGCTCCTGCTCCCCACCTGGCCCGAGGCCAGCCCCCTTCCTCAGTTCTCCCGGCCTCTTGGGGTCGACAGAGGAAACCCCTCCGGATGGATGCGGTCGTGCGTCCGGACCGTGGTCGGAGGAAGCAAGTGGCGGAGACTGCGTGGCCGGGCTGCTAGGGCCGACCCCAGGCCGAGAGGAGTCCGAGACGCGCTGTTTCCTGTGTCGGCCTGGCGCTCCGATGGGGCCGGCCCAGGCGGCCTTTCGAGAGGTTTCTGGAGGGGATCCGGCGCGGTGATGTGCTGGTCCCTCTGCCCGCGTCTGCCCTGACTACTTTTGGGGCTCACGACCCCACAACCAGCCAAGTGGGAAGATCAGAACCCATTGGTCCTGCAGGGTTTAAGTGGAGTGCTTAAAATCTGTCTCACAATTACTTATAGAAATAACAAGACTTTTTTTTTTTTTTTTAACGGAGGATTTTATGTAGCACACACTGGAGTTACATCCCAGAGGTCCTCCTCCTGCCGGTCCACCCCTGGCCACACGTTTTGCAGAATTTCTCCAAGTTCAAAGCAGATTATCTGTTTCATGCCATTGTTTCTGCAGTTCATAAAATTCTTTAGAAATGTGAACTCCCGAGTCTCACAGGATCACATCATGATCTGAGTAAAAGGAAGAGTCATGACTGGTGGGTAGCATGAAGCAGTTAGAAACGCCTTATCCTTTCTGCTTCAGAATTTGGAAGTCTGTTGCTTGTTCACGACGCTTTCACCACAGTGTTTTCTACTTGTGTCTAATGAGTTGTTTGAAGTAAAACTTAACAACTCTTATAGTTAGGAAAGATAAGATACTTTACAGTTTTGTTCTTATGTTTTAAGGACTTGTATATGATCTGTACATCAGTAAATCGGTAACACGGAGTAACTTGACTTTTGGACTTATGTATTGTATACTTGTGAATTATTCCTCCCTCCCTCTCTCTTTCTCATTCTCTGCCCTCACTGGTTTATTTGATTCCAGCAGTTGATCATTTAGGTTAGTTAAGCGTTTTTTAATATGTACTGAAACCGTGACCCAGCTTCTGTGCCCTATTCCCTGGACTTCTCTTGAAGAGCACTGTAGATAGTTAAAATACTTATTTTTATCAATTGTTTTCTGTTCATTTTTATCAGAGAGTCCCACGTACTGGCTGGGTATACAGAAATGTCCAGAAGCCAGAGAGCGTATCAGATCACATGTATAGGATGGCAGTTATGGCTCTGGTGACCAAAGATGAACATCTTAACAAAGACCGGTAAGCTGTGAACTTTGGTGCCGGTTAGGGTCTGTGGGTATGCATGACTCTTCATGACTGAGGCCTGTGTCAGATTCTTGTAGCTTAGTGTATATGTCAAGAAAAATTACTTGAGGCAAACCATACAGATTCAGGATGTGGGAAGGGGCATTATATGCTGATCACTTCAGTTGTTGTAAACTGTACTCTGGGTTTTCTCCTGGCAAGTGAAAGAGCCTACCTTGGTCTCAAACTTAAGTGTGATGTGAGGGTTTCCAGGGCCTTGAAGGTAAAGTGTCTTTTGTCTAAAATTGTATCCATACACTGTGTGTACCTTTATTTCACCCCTTTTCTGAATAGTAGCACTTATTTGTGAAGTGACTTTTTGAAATTGTATGTGCAGGAAAGAGCTGAGAAAGATATCCTCTCTCCCTTCAGTCAACCAACAAGTGTTTAAAATGCTTTTTGAGGGACTTCCCTGGTAGTCCAGTGGGTAAGACTCCACGCCCAATGCAAGGGCCCTGAGTTTGATCCCTGGGTGGGGAACTAGATCCGTCTTGAATGCCGCAACTAAGACCTGGCTCAGCCAAAATAAATAAACAAAATAAAAAATAAAATGCTTTTTGAGCGCAGGACAAACTTTCCTAGCAATACAGTATAAGATAGTAAATAAAACCCAGATGAATTACACAGGCCCAGAGTGGCTTCCATACAGAGCACAAAATAAATTAAGTTAGAAAATTTAACCGAAGAGATCACCTGTTCTCGGGCGGTCTTCATGGAGGAGACAGAATCGGAGTTGACCTCTATGGTGCTGATTAGGTGGAGAAGTAGAAGACAGCACATAAAGAGAGGGCAGAGAAACCAAATCTCTGATGGTAGGAAAGTAAAGGTATATTTTGGAATTGATAAGTAAATCAAATTGATTGAAACGAAGGTCCATTAGGGAGTCTCCGGAGGCCTGTTACTCTGTAGATGGCGTAGAATTTAGGAGGTTTTTGGCAGATGGTACGAGATGAGCACGGTGTCAGATGGAGAGGCTCGTAAGGACAGTCTGAGACTGAACTAGATGAGAGAGCAACTGCAGGCAGGGACACCTGTGAGGAGGCTGGGAGGCCTTCTTCTGCCTCGGTGATGGTGGGAACATAAAACAGACTGGCCCTCTGGGGCATTTATCTCATGAACTGCCTTTATTATTTTGATGCTGATTATCCTAATCACTAATCATTATCACTAATAATTATAATCATTTGTTGAATAATCAACATGTTTCAGGAACATAAATTATCAAATTTAGTTTTCATACCAAAGTTAGGAAGTATTATTACCCCTTTTTACGGATGTTAAAAATGAAGGCTGCAAAACTCAGCATTTAAAGAAATTAAGTACCTTGGCAAAGGCCACACAGCTATTAGATGTTGATTGCCGGATGCAAACTCAGATCTGTCCAACTCTACCCATTTCTCTAGAAAGGGCATCATTTTGACATCTGACTAGTACATTGGGGAGATGATAGTTTTTGAATTTTGTATCAATAAGTAAATGCTCTAACTAGATCACCTCCTGGCTTTTTAATCTAAAGTTATCCACCTTTTAAAGTGACATTTGAGAAACCAGCTATTTTTTTTAATTCATGCTAACAATTTCCCCTGTATTCTCATGTATTGTGCTGAATATTAACTAGCAGTTTTGATTCAGAACTGTTGCAGGCTGGCAGAATATAATTACTTTAGAAAATACTGCATTAAAATAAAATACTCTGTGAGGCTGGAGAAAGAAAACTATATTATGTAACTTCAAAGTAGTATAGAGAAGGAATCTAGTGAATATCATTCTGTGTAATTATTCACCATTTCTTGCCTGCTCAGATGTGTACGCCTAGCCCTGGTTCATGATATGGCAGAATGCATCGTTGGGGACATAGCACCAGCAGATAACATCCCCAAAGAAGAAAAACATAGGCGAGAAGAGGTCAGTGTTGACTGTTGACTCCACAAAAGACCCCCAGAAAAACCCACTGCTGAAACAAAGCTAAGTTTATTAGACCTCTTGCAGTAAGGGAGAGTACCTCCTTGATGGAGTTTTAGTAGTGTCTCAGAAAGGAGGGTGAAGGGAGGGTATTTATAGAGTTTTAGGGCCTGGGCTGGAGGATGTTTGGATGCATCTTACAAGAGGAGCTACTATCTTACAAGATGGGATTGCATAGAGTTTAGGACACAATAACTTTGGGGTGGTAGGGCTGGTGAGCCAAGGTCTTAACAAGCGTCTTGAAGGGCAAGCTGTTAGTGCTTACTCTATTTTGGGTGGTTTACAATCTTACCTTCCAGAAGTAAGGATTTCTTGGAATAAGCAGTGAATTGGTTTTGCTTATTCTAAGCCTTGTTTAACACAGAGACAGGACATTTTGTTGGTTTCAGTTCTCATGGAGGGGCATAGAGGGGACCTGAACACAGAGTACAGATAGTACGGCTTTCATTAGAACAATGGAAATAGCTGGAACTTGAAGGAATTCTCCATGCTAGTTTAAGCTCTTTGGAGAGAAGTTCTATAAAGCCCAAGAATAATCATTATTATAATTAGTATTTAGTAAATTTTAAATTAGTCCTTTGATTTAGTGGTTAAAAGTAAAGAAAAAAATTTTGTGTTAGTAAAAAATGAATAACATCAATAAAACATTGTCTGCTGATTTGGACTCTAAACCAGAGTCCAGGGACAAAGAGGAAGACATATTTGACACAGAGACTGGAAAATCCAGGAAGGTTTTTTTTTAAAATGCTGAATGGCTGGTTCCCAATTCAGGGATTATTGCAAGCTGCTTTTATTGTAGGCCAGAGAGATTGATCCTAAATGTCTAAGTCAACAGATCCTTCATCAAGGTGGTTTAACAGGGAAGGTGGGCTTAAATAGCTGTTCTCGGAGCTGGCGGAGGCTAGAGCTCAGTAGCCAACAGCATTTTTGCCCCTCTAGAGGCAAGAAGATCTATAAGGAATCTCAGTTTAGGAGTTCCAACACACCCTAAATTATGGTAGTAAGGGGAATAGTGTAAGGAATGTGTTCTTAGTGTAAATACAGGTCCAGAACACACGAGCATCATGACAGTCTGTGAAAATGGAGGAGCTAAGGAAATGTTTCTCTGTGGGAGTCTAGACTGTCCTGAATAAAGAACTCCTAGGTTGACTGGCAGGATTAACACAAAAAGAAAACAATTAGCTCAAGATGCTGAGTTGTGGAGAGGAGTTAGCCCCAAACCAGAGGATGTTGGGTATTGACATATGACATAGAGAAAAAGGAGGAGGAAAAGACTCCTCAATTATATAGCACGTTTCAGGATGTACGATGGTTTCATTCAAGGGTAAATGTATACCTTGTGGAGGAGAAATCACATACTGAAGTACCAGAGGGTGACCAGAGACCTTAAAGTGACGCAAAGGAAGAAGAGAGTGTTCCCGTATCGGCACACAAGGAATGTGAGGTTCATTCCACAGAGGAGCGAGTCAGAACCTTCTGAAGAAAAAACATTCAGTAGGAAGGATCTCCAACCACTGGAGACAGAGAAAACCTACCTGTGTCCTGACAGAAGCTGAGTCCTGGCTAGTGACACCCCCCGGAGCGGGGCATAGAGGGGACTTGACACTCAGTGCTGCTTCTTCCTGGACGCCGTATGCAGGCAATGATGAAAAGCCTGCCCAGCCTCATTAAACCTCCTGGCTGCTGCCCACTCCATCTGATTTATAGGAGAATAAATATCATCAGAAGGGACAGGGGAAACATCTTAAAGAACCCCAAGTTCTTGGACAGGAAACCAAAGGCTTGGGGAGTGCTGATACTCCATTGCCTCTTCCTCTGCTAGTTAGGATTTGGGACAGAGAAAAAGATCTGGGAGGTGAACAGTTCTTTATGCAGATGGTGTTTATGAATAAGATGTGGATGTCTGAGCCATAACTTAAGATAATTAAATGAGGGTTTCTTGGCTCCTTGAGGTGGAATGCACATACTGAAAACCAGGAAGTATCATTTGCCCAGAGGCTAGCCAACGGCATCAGAAAGGCTTTAAACCCAAGTAGGAATGGGAGGAGAAATACTTGATAAAATTGGAAGGCTGATTGTCTTGGAGGAGAGTAGGTATTAAGATGAAAGGGAGAATGAAGGTGTAGAACAGAAAATTCAGGGGGGCCAAAAGTAATACTTGTAGTCTGACTCCCCTCCTAAACAGGATAAAATAAACTTTATATTATAACCCTAGTTGGTAAATGATGCCTGGTAGGGATCATTAAGAAGTAGTGGGATGAAGCTTGACTCTGGAATATAGCAATAGCAGGTTATATTCCTTGGCAAAGGGAAAACTTATTAAAACAGAAGGCAGAGTTATGATATATATGTACCTGAGAGTTAAAGTTGCTGAAGAACTAGAGGTTAAAAGGGGAAGAACCAAACTTTATTATGGGAGTAAACATGCAAGATGGAGAAAGTGAAAAATACAGTGAACATTTTACAGAGTGCTTTTCCTGTGCCAGATAATGAGCACTTTATATATATATTAATTATTTAATCCTCACAGCAATCCTTTCAGGTAGGTACCACTATTAACCCCATTTTACAGATGAGAAACCTGAAGGACAAAGAAGTAACTTGCACAGGGTTCCACAGCTAGTAAATGGCAAGCAGCGTTTCAAACCCCATCTGAATCTACAGATTGTCATTAACTGTTGCACTCTTCAGCCTCACCAAAGGTGTGTGAGTGATGAATACTGCTTTCTGGGTGCTTGTCACAAAACTGACAGACATTTGCTGAAAGCTTCACTCAGCTCAGAACTGTAGGCAGATTCTTTTTTTTTTTTTTTTTTTTTTTTTTTTTTTTGCGGTACACAGGCTTCTCACTGTTGTGGCCTCTCCCGTTGCAGAGCACAGGTTCCGGACGCGCAGGCTCAGCGGCCATGGCTCACGGGCCCAGCCGCTCCGCGGCATGTGGGATCTTCCCGGATCGGGGCACGAACCCATGTCCCCTGCATCGTCAGGCAGACTCTCAACCACTGCGCCACCAGGGAAGCCCTGTAGGCAGATTCTTGACATGTTTTGCTAACAGGAAGAAGCTAGGGAGATTATCACTCTAAATCTGTGTGAACAAGACAAAACTCAGTTTAGAAGTGGGAGTGGCAGGGCTCACCATCAGGCAGGGCAAGTCTGACATCTGCAGCCATTTGTCCTGGACTTCAATGAAGTCGATTTCAGTGGCTCATTTGAAAAGGTAGGCATGATTCTGTGGCATATGAGGCCAAACAAGGAATAACAACTAAGAGGTCTCAAAATGCAATTCTGATTGTATAATAACAAATGATATCAATGAGTTTAGGTCCAGAAAATCATTGCTTAATTTCAGGAAGAGAACAAAAACGTATCTGTTTGCTATGTTTTGTTTTTTAAAAGACATGGTGATTTTAGTCACCAGGAAGCTTATTAATAAGTCAGTAATCATGTGATTTCCAAAAAGCCAACTCAGCCTTGGGCTGCATTTATAGAAATAGAGCATTTGGCACGATGGAAGCTTTGGTTCCATTGTGTTTCGGGGTCAGACCACATATCAATCACTGTATTCAGCGCTGGGTGCATCGCTCTGAAGGAAATAAAGTAATCCCTTGTCACAGCAGGACTTCTATGTTTATATTATAAAAGTTTAATTTTGATATGTCTCTATACCTATATGTTATTCAGTTCATTCTTTTCAAACAAAAGCAATGGGCAAACTTATGTTTCTAGAATAGTGTAGAGAAAAGTGATCTATTTATAAAGACACTATTAATTTTTGAAAGTGCAAAGTATTTTCTCAAGTATTTTGCTGAGGTTTATGAAAAAGAAACAAGGGAGAATGCAGGTGCAAAATACCCTAAATTTCATACCACTAAGGCTGCTATAATGGTGCAAACCATTCAAGATGGTGATGTTAGTTACAAGAGCAGATCGTTGACACTGGCCAATGTGGTTTGCTCTGGAAGTGGTTGTATTCTGTAACATTTTTTTCTCCCGGTAATAAATAATTATATATACAAATACTCATTTTTATTTTTATTGCTTTTTCCCATCTCACCATTTGATCTTATGTGAGACCTTTGCCACTTTTATATACCCACTTTGCCAAAAGTGGTTCTTACAACCATATTCTTTTCAAAGAGCCTAAGCTCTAGTTAGAAGAACTGGACCAGATTAAGAGGCATAGGATGAGGATAGTGAAGGAATTGGAAGCCAATTGAGAGTAGACTGCAGACCTCATGCCCCCAAAATGTGATATTTTAGAATTTTGGAGCAACATAGAAATGAAGGAAGAGATGGGAACGAGAGGGGCTCCTGGAACTTGGAGACTAGATATACATACTGAACACCCTCCATGCTCTCACTCTCTCATCTCTGCTTTTCTGTGGGTTTTGGCTCTCCAGGCTCTACTCGGGGCTTCTGTCTCCCAGCCTCTGCTGGACAACTCATGCAGATGGTCCCTGAGTGGCTGGTTTGAGTTACATGGCCATCCCTTGGACCAATCACTGGTCGCAGAGATTCTGGCCCAGCTGGGCCACGGCCCACCTGTTTGACATTGTGTTTTTATGAGGGAGGAAGGCAGAAGAGCTGGGGCTATAGGCATAGTGGAAGGACTACAGGGACAATTTTCAGCTTGATGTAAGAAAGTACTTTCTACCAATGCTGCCTAAAGCCCATTTGGGTAACCTCTTGAGGTGCTAGGTTCCCACCACTGGACATGTTTGTGGAGGGAGGATAAGAAGTGCCCAGTGATGCTGCTGGATGGTTGGGCTCGTTACCCTTTAACATCTCTTTTCAGTCTGTGAGTCTGTGAGCCTACGAAATGCTGCTTGTAATTTCCTTTATGTTAATAACAATATCTGCCCATTTGTGTAGTGCTTTACATTTTGCAATAAAAACATTTTAACGATAAAAAATGAACATAATGGTATACAAAAAATTTCTTTGAGGTTTGTAATTCACCGATACTTTCCTATTCTCCCCACACTCAGGTTTGTTTTGAACTGTAGTGTGCTTATGGTTGAAATTCATGTGGGCATCTTGCAATTCATCCACAAGATGTAAAATCCATAAAACTCTTAGAGGAAAACATAGGCAGGACACTCTATGAAATAAATCACAGCAAGATCGTTTTTGACCCACCTCCTAGAGTAATGGAAATAAAAACAAAAATAAGCAAATGGGACCTAATGAAACTTAAAAGCTTTTGCACAGCAAAGGAAACCATAAACAAGACAAAAAGACAACCCTCAGAATGGGAGAAACTGTTTGCAAATGAAGCAACTGACAAAGGATTAATCTCCAAAATATATAGGCAGCTCATGCAGCTCCATATCAAAAAAAAAAAAAAACAACCTAATCCAAAAATGGGCAGAAGACCTAAACAGACATTTCTCCAAAGAAGACATACAGATTGCCAACAAACACATGAAAGGATGCTCAACATCACTAATCATTAGAGAAATGCAAATCAAAACCACAATGAGGTATCACCTCACACTGGTCAGAATGACCATCATCACAAAATCTACAAACAATAAATGCTGGAGAGGTTGTGGAGAAAAGGGAACCCTCTTGCACTGTTGATGGGAATGTAAATTGATACAGCCACTATGGAGGACAGTATGGAGATTCCTTAAAAAACTAAAAACAGAACTACCATATGACCCAGCAATCCCACTACTGGGCATATACCCTGAGAAAACCATAATTCAAAAGGAGTCATGTATCACAATGTTCATTGCAGCTCTATTTACAATAGCCAGGACATGGAAGCAACCTAAGTGTCCATCGACAGATGAATGGATAAAGAAGATGTGGTACATATATACAATGGAATATTACTCAGCCATAAAAAGAAACGAATCTGAGTTATTTGTAGTAAGGTGGATGGACCTAGAGTCTGTCATACAGAGTAAAGTAAGTCAGAAAGAGAAAAACAAATACCATATGGTAACACATATATATGGAATCTAAAAAATAAAAAAAGGTTCTGACGAACTTAGGAGCAGGACAGGAATAAAGATGCAGATGTAGAGAATGGACTTGAGGACACGGGGAGGGGGAAGGGTAAGCTGGGACGAAGTGAGAGAGTGGCATGGACATATATACACTACCAAATGTAAAATAGATAGCTAGTGGGAAGCAGCCGCATAGCACAGGGAGATCAGCTCAGTGCTTTGTGACCACCTAGAGAGGTGGGATAGGGAGGGTGGGAGGGAGATGCAAGAGGGAGGGTATATGGGGATATATGTATGCGTATAGCTGATTTACTTTGTTATACAGCAGAAACTAACACAACATTGTAAAGCAATTATACTCCAATAAAGATGTAAAAAAAAAAAAGATGTAAACTGCTTGGCCTCGCTTCTGATACTTCTGTAATCATTTCACACCTTCCTCATTGTCCTTATTTGTGTCTGGTGTGCTGTAGGCCACAAAATAAGTGCTCGTGAATAAATACATATGAACAAATACATTTATTTAATGTACACAACTGCCCTCCTTGTAAGCCTAAATATTGTCCAATATTCTGCTGCCCCTTTGGGAGTTATTTGTAAGAGTTTGAGTCCATTATTTGGCATTTGTAGATGAGCTGTTAAATAAATGTGAATATGATTAAAGTAATGATTTGATGTTTCAGGAAGCTATGAAGCAGCTAACCCAGCTCCTCCCAGAGGATCTCAGAAAAGAGCTCTATGAACTTTGGGAAGTAAGTATATCTGATGGGTTGCTTTTTATTGTAACTGAATTTATATGGCTCATCAGTGTTTTATTTGACTTAGACTATCTCAATAAGCTGTCTCCAACTTGTTGCTTTTTTGGTCATGTCAGTTTCTCACCTCCCAGCTGCTGCAGGAACTTCTCAGGACTAACAGTAATTTTTCTTCCCATTTCCCTTGTCACCATAAAGCCTGGTACGGATACTGACTCACAGCCCCTGGATTTCCTGATGCATAGCTCTCATCCTCCACCCTGTCAACCTCACACTCCCCCACCCCCGTCTCTGGTCCTTGAAAGGAATGTAGGCTTTGGGGTAGTTCAGAACTGGGTTCCCACCTCACTCACCACTTCCTGGCTCAGTGACCTTGGGCTCCTTCCCCTCCCTGAGTCAGTTGTCCATCTCTGAAACCATTAAGGGGTGTTAGGGCTGAGTGAGGTCAAGGCCAGGTGCTGCCATGGAGCCCAGCGCAGAACGTGGGCTCTGTGGGTACTCAGTCCCTCCCTGGTGCTGTTTTCCAGCAGTGAAGAGAAAACGACAAACAAACCCTGCCTACTGCAGTTTCTCCCTCCCTTCCAGCCCCACTGACCCTCCCTTGCTTGAGCCTCTAGCCCCACCCCTTACGCTTGGGTAGCCCTGCCTCTCACTCTCACTCTTCACGTTTCCTTCAAAGCCCTGCTCCCTCCTCCTGTCTTCTGAACCCGACCTTCCACCTTTTCTTTCACCCCCTAAAACTCATATGTACCTCCAAATAAGACCTTATTTGGAACTAGGATTCTTACAGAGGTAATCAAGTTAAAATGAGGTCATCTGGGTGGGGCGCTTTTCCAATATGACTGGTGTCCTTATGAAAAGGCGAGTTTGGATGTAGAGACACACATATTGGAAGAGTACCATGTGAGCATGAACAAGGCCATCTGTAAGCCAAGGACAGAGGCCTGGAGCAGTTCCTTCCCTCACAGCCCTCAGAAGGAACCAACCCTGCAAATACCTTGATTCCCAATTCCCAGCCTCCACAACCGGGAGATAATAAATTTCTGTTGCTTAAGCCACCCGGTTTGTGGTACTTTTTACAGCAGCCTTAGAAAACTAATTTTCTCTCTCTTTCTTCCTCTTTCCCTGATTCTGTGCAGTGGCAACTTTATTATATTCTTCGTTATTTTTTAATTATCTCTATATTCTCTCTGTTTGGCTCTTTACTGTATCTGTTAGAGTTTTGTACAGTTATAGCTGAAAGAAAGCCTGTTTCCAACTCCCTTATTTTATAGATAAGAAGACTGGAGACTAAAGAGTTTTGCCTTCCCCAAGGTCTCTTAGCCAGCTGGTGACAAAGCAAGGCCACAAGCCTGCTTCCTAACTCAGCATTTTCTTTATGTCATTACGCTGTATGTTAATTAATTGAACAAGCATTTATAGTTCTTATGTATTCATGATACTATGTCAGTTACTTACTATTAATTGTAAGAGACCCTGGGTTTCCAGGGGCTGCTGTAACAAATTACCACGAACTCGGATGGCTTAAAACAACAATGTATTGTCTCACAGTTTTGGAGGCCAGAAGTCCAAATCAAGGTGCTGGCAGGGCCATGCTCCCTGAAGGCTCTGGGAGAGGATCCTTCCTTGCCTCTCCCTAGCTTCTGGTGAATGCGTCTTCCAGCTTTGACATCCTTGCCTTCTGAATACATTGTTCGAGTCTCTGCCTCCTTAGTCAGGTGATGTTCTTCCTGTGTCTGTAACTGTGCCCAGATTTCCCTCTCGTAAGGATGTCGGTCATTGGGTTGAGGTCCATGCTAATCCATTATGACTTTATCTTAATTTGATTACATCTGCAAAGACTCTATTTCCAAATAAGGTTACATTCGTGCATTACAGGTAGACATGATTTTGTGGGAACGCTATTCAACAGAGAACACAGACTCTCATATTAACTTATGCATGTTTTAGATTCATGTACATTGGCTTCAATACCAGATTTCCAAGGTTCAAATTACTGGCTCCTCTGTTTACTAGCTATGTGATCTTGGGCGACTTACTGAACCTCTCTGTCTCAATTTCCTCATCTATAAAATGCTACTAATAGTAGTATACCTATTTTATAGGGTTGCGTGGCAATCAAATGAATATATGTAAAGCAGTTAGAATATTGCCTGACACATAGTACACTCTGTTTTTCTGTCTCCAGTCCATATGTTCTGATTTTGATTTAAGAAAATAGGGTCACTCTGAACGCAGGGAACTGAGTACTGGTTACATAGAAAATGGCAGTTGATCGATTTCTGAAACGTTAATCACTGCTATTCACAACTGTAAATAGCTATCAGCCCACAGGGTCACATCTAGTTAAAGCAATTAGATATCCTCGATTATAATTTATCTTTTACCATAGAAGTGTGAAGTCAAATTTTAGTGAGTCAAGGGAAAACATTTTCATTTTTTTCCTCGAAGTATCACAGAAAGATATCCGCCCTACCACCTGCATTTTGCTTTAAAGAAATAACCCTTGGAATCCCGAGGCAAAGCAAGAGGTGCTCCCTGCCATATGCTGAATGCCTGGCACACTCACCTGCCCTTGGATTGTTTCCCAACATACAGCTGAAGATACTGTTGGGTTAACAAGTACCCCTTAAAAAAGCCTCTCTCTGTTCTATCCTTTGAAGTACAAGTGCTGTATTTTGGTGGGGAGTTTGATATACAGCAACATGAGCGTCCTGGGTCCCAGAGGGAGAGTCACTAGGAGGTGAGAAAGTGGAACACATAAAAGACAACTTTATATATGTCGATACTTCATGTAGGGCCAATCTTTCCCCAAGGGAGAGGGAGGTAACCTTTGATCTTCCTCTCCTTTCCTCTCTTTCTCTTTCCTTCGGTCCTCCATGTTGAGAACCTGGAACTTGCTTGAAATCCTCATCCTTCTGTTGTTCTGAAAACCCCAGTCAGAGCTGCATCTAATAAAAACCAAGAAATCTTCAGTGATTCACATCACATCACCCTGCTGAGAAAGCATGACAGGTTCATTATCTGAACACATCTAGGGTGGAATTACAAATGAGAGCTTGGCAGGGAAATCAGTTGGGAATACTTTGGTCTTAATAGAAGAATGGTTCTGTATAGTATTAATTGGGACTGGTGGTTTTGTGACATGTGTCATGCACTATGAAGCAGACTGCCTCTTATTTCTGGCCTGCACTGAGGAGGGAGGGAACAAAGGGAAGAGGAAAGGTAAAAAAGCCACACCCCGTCCACTACCTTCACCGCCTCCCTGCCACCAACACATGCACATACCCATGGCATGAAGAGTTCTCAGACCCTGGCTGTATCCTCAAGAGTCATAACCCGGAGGGACTTGATTAACTCCTCCCTATTTGGAAAGCAGGGACAGAGATTTTCATTGTAGAGTGGTAACCGAAATTAAATGAGAAAGCTAGAAAGTCACTTCAAAAGGAAAAGGAAACGCGACATTAAATGGAGAGGGAAATAATTTGAGAAGCATAAGATGAAATATTAGCTTGAAGTTGAAAAGACCTGCTCTACTCAGGTGGATTAAAGAATAATGATCTTGAAGATAAGTTACTAAACAGGAAGGAAAATGCTTGGAAGTGTCCATGTGAACACATGAGGCCTCGCAGGCATCGGGTGGAATAGATGGAGCTGTGAGCACCGCCTTCCCACATACAGCGCCGCTGTTAAGCGGTGGAGTTGCAGGTGACTAGTCTCTGTGATGGGTTTGTATGCAGTGGAGAAATGTGGCCAGTGCAGAATGTGCTTTTAGCTGTGACTCTGATTTCAGGTACCAGAATGAGAATTTTCCTGGAATAACCTATCATGCAGCCCTAATCATGTGGCTTTAATTGTCCCTTTACTTAGGAATATGAGACCCAATCTAGTGCAGAAGCTAAATTTGTGAAGCAGCTGGACCAATGTGAAATGATTCTTCAGGCATCTGAATATGAAGACCTTGAGAACAAACCTGGGAGACTGCAGGACTTCTACAATTCCACAGCAGGTACGCAATGCTGCTTTCAATAAGCATCACTTTAGTTTGGCTTAATTTACTCCTAGTGTATAAAATGTTAGTCATAACATTATATTATATGTCCACTGTTGTTACCCTCCTCTGACACTTTCGTATGGAGCATCTAAGAAGCAAATGGTGGGGTTTATGGTATGAGGTGACCTAGTGCACAAGAGCATTGCCGCTCTGGAGTCTGAGCACCAGGTTCACATCACACATACTAGCTGTGTGCTTCCAGGCAGTCTCCTGACCTTTCTGAAAAATGGAAATCATAATACCTTACTTAAGACATAGGCTGGTTTTGAGATTCAAGGTATGTCAAATGCATTATAATATGTAAGTGCTTTATAGATGTCAGGTCATGTTAAGGTGGAGGTAGAAATAGAGACTTAAAAAGAGAAAACTCCAAACAGCTGAAGTCACCGTCGTCATTATAGCTCTTCAGAGCACAGGCCTAAAGTCAAACTGCATGGGTTTGAATCCTGGTTCTGCCACATACAATTTACGTAACTTCCAGTAAATTAATACTTAACCTAGCTCTGGACCTTCATTTCCTTATTTTTAACTTGAGGATAATTACTAAATCTACTTTATAGGGTTATTTGAGGATATATGTGAAGTGCTTAGAATAATGGCTGGCAATAAGCCTTAGCTATCCTCATTTTTTTTTTTTTTTTGCCATACGCAGGCCTCTCACTGTTGTGGCCTCTCCTGTTGCGGAGCACAGGCTCCGGACGCACAGGCTCAGCGGCCATGGCTCACGGGCCTAGCCGCTCCGCGGCATGTGGGATCTTCCCGGGCCGGGGCACGAACCTGCGTCCCCTGCGTTGGCAGGCAGACTCCCAACCACTGCGCCACCAGGGAAGCCCGCTATCTTCATTTTGATTCAGCTTCTAGAGTGAGGCACCAGGTGCACTGACCGCTGGTGTTCATGTTGCTCCCTGGAGTAGAACTCCATCTCTCTTCCCTGGGAGTTCTTCAGGCTCAGCTCAGCCTCCATCTCCCCTGAGAATACTGTTAGCGATGATATTGGGGGGACCTCTCTGGACCCTTTTGTGACCTCATCAAGTAGAGGAAAGTCCCAGCTCCAAAATATGCTCCAAACTATGATTTGCATTGTAATGAAGTTGATGTGATTTTCCTTCTCTCTTTTCCAGCCCCACTACCTCTGCCCTAGACAAGGCCCTCATTATTTCTGTATTGAACTGTTGTTATAACCACCTAATTTAATCTGCTAGGCTCATGAGTTCATCCTGCATGTCTCAGTGCTTTCCTCCTTTGTAGATATAGGTATCATCACCTCTTTTGTTTTTTAAACGTTTGTGGCTTTCCTCTTCCTTAAAAATAAAATCTTGACAATTTCTAAGTCATCTGAACAGCTCTGCAGGCTAAGGCCACTCAGCTGTCTGGTTTCCTCTCCTAATCTTCCCTGTCACAGCTGAGCGTTCCCTTCTTTTTGCTCAATCTGCCCTCGGTCTGCAGCTTGCCTTAGCGTTGTCACAGTCTGACTTGCATTCTCCGTAATGATGTTCCTCGTTGGGTTTCTTTCCAAAACCCCACTTGCCCACCCCACCCTATCGTAAGCTGTTTGAGGGCTGAGACCAACCAGCTTTGTCTTATCTGTCCTCGGTATAGGCGATGCTCAAAATGTTTGACTTTGGTTCAGTGGAATAATGTTGTAAACCAGGGGTCAGCCAACTATAGCCCGTGGGCCAAACTGGCTGCTGCTTGTTTCTATCAATAAAGCTTTACTGAAACAGCCACGCTCTTTCTTTCTCTGTTGTCTATACTGTTTTCATGCTACAGCAGCAGAGCTCAGTAGTTGGCAGCAAAGACCAAATAGTTCACAAAACCTAAAATATTTACTATCTGACTCTTTACACGAAAAAAGGTTTGACCAATGATTGGGTTACTAGATAGCATATTTCCCCAATAAGGTAATAAAATATGTCACGTTTATGTTGTTCTTTGCATTTTAATACTATTTTCTTCTATTTTGGTACATTCACAATGAAAAACAGAAAATGAAACATGAGAATACTAGTACAATCAAAAACTATGGGAGCTGGAAGGTCATCTGGTTTAAACTCCACATTTTATTGCGGAAGAAACTTGAGCCTGGAAAGAGGGTGATGTGCGCACAGCTGATGAGATTAAAATTCACTGCACTTTCCACTGTGGTGCACTATTTCTAGTAAAAAATTAGTAAACTTAAACAGTGTAAATGATGTAAGAAATGGTTTCTTCCTATTTCTTGCCCTGGTTTGGACCAGGGTAGTAATGGTAGAAAAAGTAAGAAGTCAGATTCTGGATATATTTTGAGTATAGAGTCGACAGGATTTGTGTATGGGGTGTTTATAAGAGGAGTCTGAGGATTTTGGACTTTCCACTAGACAGGAAAGATGGGGGGAAGAATAGGTTTGGAGGAAGAAAATCAGGGGTCCCAGAAGCCAAGGGAAGAAAGTGTTTCAAGAGGGCAGGAGTAGCTGTCGGATTTAGCAACATGGAGCTGATCGGTGTCCTTGGTAAAAGCAGTTTTGGTGGAATGACGTTAAGTCTGACAGCACGACTTTTACACCGTGGGGCAGAGGATGGCCTGGAAGCAACGAGGAGTGTGGAGGACAAGCCCTGGCCTGGTGGTAGGAGCTGCATGAGACAGAAGACAGCCACGGGTGGAGGGGCTGCAGAGAAAGCTGTATCCTCAGGACGAGTAGGTGTCAGTTAGGGCAAGAAAGTGAAGGGGACGTTCAGAGAAGAGATTGAGCATAGCGAATCAATGGAATAGAGTTAACTGTGGAATGAAGAGCAAGCAACAAAAGGCACTGGCAAGAGAAGACAGGGAAGAAGGGATGGTGGGTTTAACCACCCCCCCCCCCCCACCACGTGCTAGCCACCACCCACCTAAGATAGCTCGGAGCTTGGCTGCTGCCCAGGGCAGAAGCCCAGAGGGGCCAAGGAGCCAGGAAGACAGCACAGACTAGCTGGTTTCATTGTAGATGTTTGCACTCTTGTCTGCATCCTGGGACAGCCCAGACCCCCTGGTCTTCCTATCAGTCTTTTTATATGTAGGTGCATTGTTCCCCACAACTAATTGCAGATTCAGAATGGACAGCGATTGTTCTCAGTTCTCTGGACTCCATCCTCCCTGAGTTTCCCTGGAGTTCCTGGTAGGGGTACTCAGAGGCTGCCTGGTGAGGTTTTCCCCAGGTCTGCCTGAGCTGTAGTTCTTTGCCTGATTCTCATCCTTACGCTTGATAGCATCTGGGGTGACTAGCATAAGCTCCGAGTGGTTGCCTTTGGCCTCTCTCCAGGACCTGGAATCTTACTCTGCGTTGGAGTGAAGTACGGGTCAGATCACAGAATCGGGCTCCTGACAAGCCCTAGGATCCAGCTGGAGAAACTGATGTATTCACTTGTCATTATCTTTTTCCCTATCTTCTTGCATTGCAGGAAAATTCAGTCACCCTGAGATAGCCCAGCTTGTTTCCGAACTTGAGGCAGAAAGAAACGCTAACATAGCTGCCGCCGCCAGTGAGCCACACTCGTGAGATGCACTCCTGTAACAAACATTTTATTTTTCTGTTTCATGGTATTGTGTTTTGCCACTGTTGGTCTGTTGATTCCCCAGATGCGAGTCTGTTTATTTTCAATTGCCTGGACTCCAGCAAGAAACGTGATAAAATTTGGACAGTAAAAGAAGCTACAGAACAGGGTGTGGTCCTGAAAATGCCATGGATGAAGACTTGGAGGGTGGGGGGCTTTTTATGAACTGAGTAAATAAATTTTTAAAACCTTAAACTTTGGAATATTTATTACTGATTTTCAGTCATCTTATTCTGAGTTAATAACCTACCTCCCTGAAGGCCAGATTCGTTGAACAATAGAAAATGTAATTATGATTGCTTTTAAGAAGATTCTTCAGCTGGCTTAGTGATAAGGATCCAGGAAAGACAAAGTATCATAATGCATTCTCCCATCAGATGAAATGCTGCTTTATTCAGATGCTGCAGCCAGACTTTTAATTCACTATGATGTGCTTTAGGGCCCTGATCATAGACTTGTAACCTGGTAACTGGTTCTGCCCCTGCCCCCATCAATCCTTTCTGTCATTTGGGGATATAAATCTGGGCATGCGATCTCAAATGGCATTTCTCCTCCTCTGTTTTCCCCTGGCTGATTTATATTCTTCAGACCTTGATTATAAGATATTTATCACCAGATGAGAAATATATGAGTTATTACTGGGTCACGGGACCTTATGGAGAGAACGCATCAGACCCGACTTCTTCCCCTCATCTCCCTAGCATAGGGTAAGTAATCTGCCCGCTTGCCTTTACATGTTGCACAGCCACTGAATGGTGAGGAAGGGAAGGCTATCCATGCAAACCTGCTCAGTAGTTTGGTGGGAGCATGATGCCTGTCCCTTTAATTCAAATGTCAGTTTCCATTTGAAGAAGGCCTAAAAAGGCTGGCATGGTGAGAATCCTAGGCACCAGTTTCTTTGGAAACTTTGCAGTATCCATGGATACCGAATCTGCCGGAAGCAAGGTGCATGATCTCTTTAGGAGCAACACAAACGTGTACCTAGAGCTGATCTGCATTGAAAAGAGCAGTGCTGCTCTGCACTGAGATGCTGTTGCGTCACAGCAACAGTATGTAAAAAGCAGTAAATAGTTGAAAGTCAGCAAGGTCTGGTTATTCACTGGAGATACGGTTTAGAAGAAAACAACTATATCTATCAGTGTTTTGGAGTTTTTTTCTCCTGGCATGAAAACATGCACACAAAATAACCCTTGATAAAGTTCAAATATTTGTAACCAGAAGATTTCTGTGGCCCTGGAGTTTTATTTGGGTTGTTTGCCTGTTGTAATTTTCATAAATCCACACAGAGACTCTCGAAGTCTTTACTGGGTCACACTTAATACTGGTCACAATCATTATCTCAGTTTTCCATTTACCTACCAAATGAGGGTTCACATTTAGTCCTAAACCTTCCTTATTGGGCTAATATATTTAAAAACAGAAAATGTAATGGTGTTATAAATAAAATATCCTTTAATAAGAAGGACAAAATGAAGATCAGTAAAAGAAGATAGCTATTGCGTTCACCAGCCGATGTCTACAAATAGTTAAGCATTATCAATCTAATGGTTTTCTCTTCTTAGATACCTGTGCTACTTGTCTGGAATTGGTCTTCTGAATAACAAACCCTAGAACTATGTTGCCGAGTAAATAATTATTCTTGGGTTGAACTGTTGGTTCGCAGACCGGCTCCCCTACGCGGAGGGCAAGGAGAGACTGCAGAAGAGGCAGCCACTCCAGCTTAGTAGGTGGCCAGTTCATAAGCAAGGCAACTTACATATGCAGCTTGTCTGGGGCGGCCTCAAGACAAGATCTCTGCACTCGCCTGTCAGAATCTTGAATTTATATAGAAGCTTTAACTGGCTTCAGTCAGTCGTGTACCGTCCAGATGGTCTCAACCATTACCGTCACAAGGCAGCTTCCTGAAACAGCTCCTAGTGTGGGAATGGTAGGTGGAACACACATTACACGCACAGGGATGGGGGTGAGTAGCCTCCAATTGCCTGGGCCCAGCTCTCTGGTCAGCTGGTGGTCACATCCTCCTGATGACCTGCAACATGAACTCAACAAAAACAATTCCTTGTTACCTCTTGGTAATGAGGAAGAGACTACCCCGCACTCAAAAAGAGGAGCAGCTGGAAGGGTTGGTCTGCAGGGGGCACCTCAGGCTAGTTCTCCCTGCCTGGTCCCTGGGGCTGATCCGGGTCGGGTGGAGGTGGGGGTGGTTCCATCTCCAAAACAGTTCCTTGTTTTCCCATTGTCTGTGGGCTACCATTTCCCTAGCTCTTACGTAATTCTCAATGCCCTTATATTTGACAAATACTAATTCTAACAGAATGGCCAACCTGTTCGTCTTAAAATCTTGTAACGTATGCTCTGGGATAAATGACTAACGAAGTGCCTTGGGAAGAGCATCCTCTGTACCCAGCATTTTTATTTAAGTAACTTGCCAGTCTTTATAGACAAAGTGAGATTGGGGATGATTTCTATGGGAGACTTAGGATTATGTTATTTGTGGTTTGCCTTGATATATATACTCTTTATGGTAGAAACTGAAAGTCAAGTAGAAATGCAGAATAAAGAATTTTACCATTCTTAAATAAAGATTATCAAAAATAACCGTAAAACTTTGCCAAATATAGTTTGAAATTATATTTGAACGCCAGGTTTGAAGAAGTTGCTTTACATGTCATATTTAAGTCACTTTTTAAACTTATCACCACCTTCCTTTATTGTACCCATCCACACTCCAATTTAATAAAAAGGGAGAGGAGAGGCTTGGGGTTAAAGTTCACAACCTTATGCACCATTTTACAGTGAAGTTCAACAACTTTCAAGCTGATGGGTAATTTTGGAACAATGCACTGTGGCAGAAGAGCCGCTTAGATTCCCAGAGTTCTCTTCACGTTGACCACTGTGAGTGGCATGGCTTATCAGGACAGTTCGTTCTGTTGTCTATGGTTCAAGAGCAGATTTATAAGAAAATGTGTAATTTAGGGAAAGATACAGATTGCTTTGCTGACATGACCTACCAATAGTCATAGTCTATGAGATTTGAGTTTAAGATAAATTTGCAGTGTAAATTTCTGAATATTTTCCATCAGAGCAACAGGATTTTAAAAGTAATGAATGGTTAAATTACAGAATGGCTTACTTAAAAACAGTTTATTTTGTAATCACAGTTCACATTGGAGTTTTCAATTATTGAGATGCATTTTTGGTATCATACATGTTGTGGCATTTCATATACTTGGCTGGCCTGACCTGAAGTCGTTTTGATTTGTTAGCAAAAGGCTATGTCCATTGCGTGCAAATACTGTTCAGTACTTGTGGAACACTTTAAACTACTGCATGTGAACTAAGCCCAGCTGGACAAAATAGGGCAACTCAGCGGCCAGTCAAGTTGGGACATACTTGCCTGTGCAAAGTCAGGGAGACACGAGCAGCTCCTGAGTGAGTAAGCAGTGAGAAGATGAGACCTGCCAACCAAAAACTGATTTAATTATTCTACTCACACATCTCATGACAAAATGAAAAAAGAGATGTCATGGCCATTTTATCGCTCCCAGATGAGAGGGAATAATTTTAATTAAAAACAAACTTTTCAATTAATAGAGGTGATGTGAATATAGTTTTTAAAAAACTGATGAAATTAGAATTTTTGAAGAATGGTTTAAAATAAACAGCTAGGGACTTTCCTGGTGGTCTAGTGGTTAAGACTCCATGCTCCCAATGCAGGGGACCCGGGTTCGATCCCTGGTCAGGGAACTAGATTCTGCATGCTGCAACTAAGACCTGGCGCAGCCAAAAATATTAAAATAAATAAAACAAACATAAAATTTATTTTATTTTATTTTAGCTTTGAGGCATTAACACTAATTTTCTTGATTATTTTTCTACCTAATTTTAATACTGTGTTTTCAGATTGTAGGGTTGAGACTACTGTGTGCAGAAATGGGTTGGTGAATGAAAATACGTTTATAGCAACATAACTGCATTTTCTAATACAATGCAGGGTGCTGAATGCAATCAAAACAATGGCAGTGAGTTTACAAAAGGTGACCAGGCAACTGCAGACTGGTCACAGAGAGACGGAGGACACGCTGTAGCAGGGGGTGAGCAACACGGTCACAAGCCAGTTTGGCTTCAACCAGCAGGCTGGAAGGATAAATTAGGGAGAATGCCAACGCTCCTACTGGCAGGGCTCCTTTGTCCCCTCTGCTTCAAGTTTATAGCCCCACACCTATTGCTCCTGAGATTTCAGGCCTCAGAGACATGTGGCCCTGAACCAGTTCGATTTTCAGTTAGGTGTATGGACTGTCCTGCTGCATTAACTTCAATGGAAGTTTTTAGGTTGGTCTTACTTCACTATTTACATATATCCACTTCTATTTAATAATAAGTTAAAAAATGAACAATGGGGCTTCCCTGGTGGCGCAGTGGTTGAGAGTCCGCCTGCCGATGCAGGGGACGCGGGTTCGTGCCCCGGTCCGGGAAGATCCCACATGCCGCGGAGCGGTTGGGCCCCTGAGCCATGGCCGCTGAGCCTGCGCGTCCAGAGCCTGTGCTCCACAACGGGAGAGGCCACAACAGTGAGAGGCCCGCGCACCGCAAAACAAAACAAAAAACAATGAACATACTATCTCTCTATAGTATGTATATTATATGTATTATATATTATTTATATATAATATAGTTATATATATTGCTATCTATATTATGTATATTATATGGATTATATATTATTTATATATAATAGTTATATATATTGCTTATTTAAATTGTGAATTTTTAGTTGGTAGGTCTATTCTACATTCTACAGTGTACATTTAAAAAATGTAGCTATAGGAAGCTACTAACAACAAATGCTACCTAATAACAAATGTATGTTCCCATTTAGAAGAAAAAAGAAGCATATGATGTGGAAGGTAAACAGTACTGCAGAAATCTGGTTGTACTGATTGATGCTTTTTTCATTCTTGTGAGCAATTTGCAAACTGGAAACCGTTGCAGAGCCCTGCTTCTCCCATTTTCTAGCAGTTCCCTTTTCAGCTATCTCTTGCCTACTTAACTCAGTAGTTACCAAGTTAACTACTACTCTAGGTAGATTAGAGAGAATTTTAGAATTGTAGATTGTTTCAGCATCCTAAGGTAGTTGAGGTTATAATTACTTACATATCCTCTCTCATATTTTCCAAATTAGCAGAAGTTGGTTTAAAATAGCATCTGCAGAATTATACCTACCACCTTTCAAGGTCATCAGCAGAACTGAAACGTAAAGAAATTAAGAATTCAAAGTCATTAAAATCAATTATTTTAATTGCTTAAATAAACATAAGGAATTAAAGTAGGCGAGGGAGATCGGAAGCAGTTTGATGAAATTCTCAGTGTCATCCCATTCACTGCTAGAGACGGTCGGAAAGAGCCCCATCCTGTGGACAGAACTGAAAGGGGGCACTGAGCCTTCAAAGACATGCACTTCGTACAGGAGTCCAAGCAAAAATCAAAGCAAATAATTAATAGCTACATGTTTGGAAAATATGTTGAATTACACAAAAAACAAGGGTCGTGACCAACTGTGTACCTGCTGGAGCCGACATTTTAAAAGATGACTATCTATGAATACTAAAGTGTGATGGTCACGTGGTCCATCATCAACACAAATTCAAGTGGAAATCATTTAATTAAACTTTCAGGAGAAGCCATTTGAAGAACAAGGTCAAGGCCTGGGTCTTCCAGTGGGATTCTGGTCTTCATATCCGGATGCGCGCGGGCAGGGCAGGGTCCCTGGAGGTGGCTGCGGGCGCGGGCGGGGCCCTAGCACTGCAGCTCCTCCCCCTCGGCCCGCCGGGGGCCACCGGCCGAGCTCTGCGCGCTGGCTTGGGCCGTGGAGCTCAGCACCTCCTCGAAGCTGCCTCCGCCTTGGTTCGTCCCGCCTACTTTCGTCTGAAACGGGTTGAGACGCACACATGCAGTTATTTCGTTATTTCTGTAATTTTAAAAATAAGATCGATTGCTTTCAAGTTCACAAATATACTTGTCTTCTTGAAAGGGGATGCAAAGGATGTAGAGAAGTTAGTTTCCTTTAGCAGGGGGCTAGGATATCATTCATATTTGGGTTCTGCGACTGGACTTGAAACTTTAATTTGTACAGATTTAGTGACTCTCTCTTTGTCTCTTCTACATCAAAATTCTCAGTCCCTTCAGGGGCATATGCAGATCTGTGGATTTGCACCATCTACTCACTCACCCAGAGAACCAATTTAATCAAATGGAATGGGATATTAGATAAATTCCCCCAATTTCACAAATGTGTGAATGCCTTTTAGTGACTCCAGCTTGAGTTTTCCATTTGGGATTTAGCAAGGCAATCTGGATTTCCGAAAAATGTCTCTTGAAAAGCAGAGTGGCTCAATGGAACATGATTTCTGGTTTCTAATACTTTGAGAGTTGGAGATGAATCATGGCTTAAGCACTGCTCCTCTCACATCTTTCCAGGCAGTTGTCTTTATAGGAGGAATATACCTTAAAATGCAAAGTTATGATGTTTTACGAAGCTCTCTTTTTGTGTACTTGTTATTGGCTAATAAGAATATAGTCAGGGGCTTCCCTGGTGGCGCAGTGGTTGAGAATCTGCCTGCCAATGCAGGGGACACGGGTTCGAGCCCTGGTCTGGGAAGATCCCACATGCCGCGGAGCAACTGGGCCCGTGAGCCACAGTTACTGAGCCTGCGCGTCTGGAGCCTGTGCTCCGCAGAGAACAAGAGAGGCGGCGATAGTGAGAGGCCCACGCACCGCGATGAAGAGTGGCCCCCGCTTGCCACAACTAGAGAAAGCCCTCGCACAGAAACGAAGACCCAACACAGCCATAAATAAATAAATAAATTTTAAAAAAAATTAAAAAAAAAAAGAATATAGTCAGGAAGAAATCAATTTATAATTAAGAAATATGGTTAAGTATTTTGAAAAATTCCTTATTATAAGTTCTCTCAAAAGAATATTTAATGGTCCAAAATGCTTAATGCAAGTCTTGTTAATGGCCACATCGGCCTTCCTTTAACCGTTAACAATATGGAAAAATATTTTGAGGAAAAGAAAGGTATAGAAGATGTTGCTCTTCCCAAAATGCTGTCTACACCTCACTGTCACTTATGATCACTCACAAGGACATAAACCACACTGGGCAATGTACCTGCCAATTGCCTGGCCTGCCCTTTTAAAACCTTAACCAGGATTTAAAAGCAGTTCAGTCATCGCAACTTTTCTCCCATTGTCACTAAAATCCCTCTCTGCCTCTGTAAATTCAGTTACTAAGTTGAATTTTTCCACTCTGCTTGGGATTGGAAAACTCATTCTGGAAAGTGACAGATTATAAATATTTTAGGCTTAGGAACCACATCATCTCTGTCACAAATACTCAAATCAGCCATTGTAGAAAGCAGCCAAGACAATACATAAGTGAATGAGCATGGCTGTGTTCCATACAGGCTGTATGAATGGACAGTGAAATGTGAATTTCATGTAATTTAATTTTCAAATCACAAAATATTGTTCTTCCTTTGATTTTTTTTTAACCATTAAAAAAAAGTGAAAACCATTCTTAGCACACAGACCGCTCAAAAATAGGCAACCAGCTGAATCTGGCCCATAAACCTTAGTTTGCAGACTTCAGGGACAGAGCACTGATTCCTCCTCCACTCTGTGCTATCTTAGCACCGGAAAGAAGCAGGGGGTTGGTTTCAACTATCTGATTGTTCACTATGGTTATTTCTTTTCCGAGAGAGGCAAGGTCAATTCAATGTAATTAACTCTATTAATAGTTCCCATCTTCCTCTTTAGGCGCATTCTCTTTAGCAATAGAAGTCACACACAGTGTTGAAATCAGGTGAATACCAATTACTGATGTTTTCTTCTGGGCTTTGTTTTGTTCTTCTCTTCTAGTTCCTGATTTCTCAAATCAAAATAGAAAAATAAAGAGGGAGGAAACCACTTGGAAATAAAGCAGTTTGGCCAAGAAAGGAGTGGACTAAAGGGGTTTCCTAACCATGCGGGTTTAGTAACTACACACGACAATACTTTAGCCAAGGACCTCCTTAAGCAGAGATGTGAACGATAAGCTTCTCCCGGACCCTTCCCTTCAAAATGGTTTTTCATCCAAGAAGTTGTCACTGTGTCCCCAACGCTATAACTGCTCTTTGCAAAAAAATGTTATTTGAATTACTGAACTGGGCTTCCTGATCTTTCTTAATAAAAGTATCCGGTTGAAAGGACACAAAGAAACAGTAAGTATATCTTACCTTTTTTTATGGTTTTAATTCAGGCCATACAATGTGCTCACCAAAAAGTAGGGGCACTAAAAATATGTTCTGCTTGACATGGGTGCAGAACGGTCAGAGGGGATGTAGTTGCTCATGATTCACTGGAACATAGTAGAACATTCCAAATATGGTTTCACAGGAGCTGATTCTGTTTTCTGTTTGCTTGTTTTAGATGAAATAGAAATTGTGCTTATTGAGTGTACAGGTGACACCAGCCAAGATGTCAAGTAATACATTGATGTATTACAAGGATGTAGGCAGAAAGGACTAAATTTTACATGATTTTGATGAACTGGCAAGTTTTTCATGGAAAATCAAACTATCTACACAATTGGGTATAAAATAAGAACTATCCATTGGGTGCAAATGCCAGATGGTGTGACAGATTGTGTGCAAAGATGGCAGGAACGGACCTCGCTTCACAGCAGAACATTATTTCTAATAGAACACAAATATGAACACGATTCCCTCTAAGTGGTGTTTGAAAAATCAAGCTTAAAGCAGGATGTGTGAGTGGAAATACAGCATATAGACCTGCAAGGAATTTCACTCATCTGTACTGATTCATGAGTCATTCCCTCAGCAGGAAATAACCTCAGGATTGAAAAGTTACAGAAGTTTTGGAGAAGATTCAGAACGCAAAAGAAAACTATGCAGAAAATAAACTATACACAGAAGGGTTAAATATCTATTGTTTAGTCTGGAGGGAAAAAAAGGAATGAGAAGTTTGTAATTATTGAGGAAGTGGGAGGTCTGACACACAGCATGACTATTAGCTATTCTCTTGGTGCCTGTGTGGGCAGAGAAAGAGAAACTAGGTGGTGGGTGGGCTGTGAGTCTTGTTAAACCCATGGACAATCATGCAGACATAGAATCTGCTTTCAGGAGGTCTTGACACAGGCTAGTATCCAGTTGGCTGAGTTAGTTTTGTGCATGTCTGAGGAAGGAGGCAGGCTCTGTACCTTCCATCCAGATGCAGTGAGAAAAGTGAGAGGCTGACAGTGTGGGTCAGACACTTATCTCATATATGAACTGTGAGCTAACCTAAAAGCAAATGAAAACAGGTTGTTCTTTATTCTTCTTTTGCTTCTTCATACTTCCTCCTTCTAAAGAAAACCTAAAAAGCACAACTTCTCCTATGTCAGAACTTGACAACAGAATCCATCCTTCTTGGATTGTCTTAAGGCTGAGAACCAAATGTTGAGAAATTAACTCCTGGGGTTTTTGGAATCTTTTGTTTTGAAACTAGATATTCTGGCATGAGAAACATCTGTGACACTGCAGGTCTCTACCCATAAAAAGTTTTTCCTACAAACAGCGGCAATTTAATGGCTCCTCTGGGTCCCTAAATAAATGATAATGTTGACAGGCAGAGCAGTAAAACTGCACAACTAGAGACTGCTGGTAAATGAAATCAATGAAAGCATGGTAAATGTCGAGTAATAATTTCATTCTTGAGCCTTAAACACCTAATCACAGGTCTGGAAAAGAGAAGACTACGTGAAAGCCTCTTCTAAGGGGAAAGACCCTCCAGGTCAAAATCAATAAGAGCATCTAAGACCTCGACTAAGGAATAACTTATACCCTCACAGACTCATCTGGCAGCACGTGTGAGGGTCATATGATTCAGAAGCAGCTGGGTAATCAGCACGAGCCTATATGTGCTTTTGATCTGATTAAAGATCACACATATTCTTAATTTTCCTAGTAATAGGGAAATATAGAAATGGATTGTATGTAAAATAGTGATAATGATATCAAGATGTAATTAAGTTTAGGTGGTATCTTTAAAAAATCTGAGTAGTATCAATGACTTTTCGTGTTTTAAACGTTCTATACAGTTAGGACTAGACTGATTTTACTTTTGCTCTTTTATCCTCTGTACGTTAACTTATCTATGCTCAAACAATAAATTCAATGACTTTTTTTTTTTTAGCACCTACTATAGAACAGGCGTACTTTCAGTTTATACCCAGGGAACAAATGCACTATTACAAAATAATGCATTTTGTGATTCAGCTTTATTTTCCCTCCATGATAACCACGCTGTGCTGCGCTCAGTACGTGAGTGGAGTAGGCACGTGGTGTTGATGGGCGGTGGATGGCAGGATAGCGCATGGAACCAAGTTCATTTCTACTGGTCCGTGTCCAAACCAGAGGAGCTCTGAGCTGTTACTGAACTTTCACTTACACTCTGATTTCAGAGTTCACAGATCCTTTGTCCTATCCACAGTCATCTGTCACATATCTGCTTCTTGGGGGATACCATTAAGAGTTCTAACCAGTGAACAGATCAACACAAATCCCAATTCGCTTTCATGAACAGTTCACTTCTGAATGATTTATTTATATAAACAACTTGGTATGGCTACAGTAACACTATTCAATATTGGTTTTCTTTACATATTTATATGTGAAGAAAAGTGACTCTGTGCGGTGCTGCCTTCAAATGCTGGTAGCCCCGCCTTTGGAGCCAATGGCAGCAACGCCTAAGCTGTCCTGATTCAACGAACCCAGCGACACAAAATTCACTTCATCTGTACCTTAAGGCTTGTGACAGTTGTCTCAACCCTCTCCTCAAATGATTTGAAAGTAGGAGAATTCCTAAAATAACAAAAAAAGAGAGGTCAGCTCCGAAGACCTAGCTGTCTTAGCAGTCGTGCCGTGCTGCCTGTTTTCTGCTCTTGCAAACATCACCTCTGCACCAGAGTTAGTTGCTGACTTGCCACCTACACCAACCATGTTTTCAAATTTATTTCACTTCTGCTAGGTTAGATCCAGAAACCATAACCCGACATGGAATTTTTCTAAGTAAAATAGATAACTGTAGAATAAATAATATAGCATTTGGTAAGGATACAACTGTAATAATTCCATGGTGCACCGTACATCATTTCCAACGAGTCAAAGGAGTGATAGCTTAATTTTTCATTTACTAATTAATTGTTTCTATTGTAACACTCCTTTTCCCAGCTCAGTTATTTTATAACCAATAGAAAGTCTATCTGAAGAACGTCACATTCGAGTTTTCCCACTTGGAATTTTAAAAGTCATTTATTTTAGTGAATGTGACACAAGACAGAAATAGCTAAAGGAAAAAAAAGGTTCAGATGTTTTCAAACTTTAAAGTTTTAAAACTAAGCATTTTCTCAACATCCAGGAAGCAGTGTTTCTGAAAGTCAGTGCGCCCATTATTTTAGGTTGAAATATACTCACTACTTGTTTAATGCTTGATCAAAATGGTGCTATTGGCACGTGTTATATTTCCTCCCAAAGAAGATACACTTACGTGTTCTTACCAGACAGAACCTTTGCTGTCTATCGACAATTTATTTGTGACTCATTCACTGTGTTAAATAATCTACATACCATCTTGTAACTTTAAGATTTAGATCTTTATCTGGTGCTTTTTGGTTTCCTATACGGGATTTGGCCACATGACATCATGAGTTAATGACATCATTACCATTAAAAATGATATCACCAAGTCCAACTAAGGAAACAGGAACTGAATTAAAAATGTGTCTTAAATCTTGTGTTCATGTTGGCTTTCAGCAACGACTGCCATCATTTTCAGGTCAAAAGATTCAACTGAACGTTACTATGCTTGATAAGCCACTTGCTATTCTCTCGAGTGCAGAAGAAATAAAATAAGAGGAATGGCCTAAAGAAACTTCATAAGGGCGGATGGTTATAAAATACGGGCTTCACTGTATGGTGTGGGCTGTAGCATGGCTCTAATACTATCAAGAGGAAACTAATGTAGAGGATATGTTTTTGAATGAATTTGGCTTCATTAGGGATTGTCTCCCAAGACTCTGATGCTCCGGATGGTCACAAATGCATTTGCATCCAGGCTGTATGAAGTAACAGTGGTGAGTTCAGAGGGCCCAAGCATGGCATCACACCTTGTATATGACTCAAACATGAGTCGAATCCCTGTGAGGAATCCTCCACCGTACCTGTCTCATGATGAAATATTAGTGAAATCACATAAGAATGATTCAGAAGTGTACACTTATTAGCACTTTACTTCCACTGCATGTTTTATTTGGCCAAGCTGGTCACATGACTAACTACTTGTCATCCATCAGTTGCACAGGACCACAGTGGGCAGACAGTTCAGCCTAATGGTTCATGGTTTATGTTAGTTGAGCAAAACCTTTTTTTTTTTTTTAAAGTTAATTTCAGGCAAGCTCACAAGGAATACATTTGACCCATAAGTCACTAGATGGATTCCTCGTTCACAGAGGAAAACCATATATTTTTTTCAAGGCTTTTTTGGACACCCAGACTTAAAATTTAACAAGTAAAGAAACTCAGAGCTGCAGGCTGCACTGCTCAATTCTGGTGCTCTTATTCTAGGGGCAGCAAGTCATTCAAATATGAACTAAGCCATCTTGAATCTATGCTCTCTACTTACCACCAAATTAGGGAAATCAAATGCTGTGGTTAAACTTCCAAAGTAACCACATAACCCCAGTGTAGAAGAGACATCATCAGATATATAAAACAGACATTCCTCTAATCAAATTACACTAGAGTGCATGCTGGGGAATACGGAGAAACTATTTATTCAGATTTAATCATGTCATATACAACTACAAACTTGTAGCACTGCAAATGACCCTGGAAAGAATTTGGCTTCAGTGGGCTCAAACTATTTAGAGTAACTGAACGCCCTCTAGAATGCATTCACACCACAGTATATAATATAAAGCAGGAAGAAGAGGCACAGTTCTGACTGAAGTGAGGGAGGGTCCCAGAGACTAGATCCCCTCCCATGGAGCCCCAACCAGGGCAGCCCAAGGAAGCACTAGGGCTTCTGGAAGCACCAAGGGAAGAGCAGTAAAGCTGGTTCTAGCCTCTTATTTTTAAACATGATGCAAACGCTGTCACTGAGGTGACCTTCCCAAGGCTGCCAAGTTCACCCCTCAGGTCACACAAATCAAGAGAGGCTGGACTTAACTCAGTGCGTCTGGTCAATAGCCCAAGCCCATGACACCTACAATGCTTAGACAGGGTTGTCAGCCTTTCTTCCTGAGGGCCCTCAGAAAAGAGCATAAGATAGGTCATGGCATTTCCCTTTATATAAAGAAGGAAAAAACCCACAAAGTATCAATAAAGTTAACACTTCATGCACATTATACACTGATATTAGGTAAAATAATTTACACAGATTACCTCATAGCAGGCATACTTATGGAATGGCGAATGGAGTAGCTTCAGGGCAAAAGCAGATTAAAGGGAAAAAAAAAAAAGATAGCACAATATAAGTACATGAGAAACTCCCTATTCACAGTTTCAAAACAGCAATTGCAACTATCTGAAGTGTTCCCTGCACACCCCACCAAGATGAGATTTGTTTTTGTTGGGTAGGATGGGCCACAGTCACTTCCAAAGGAATAAGGAGACCAGGTGGTCCATGGCTGCATATTATTTCACTTCCTGTAGGTTCCCTGTAGGCCAGGGAGGAGAGGAGGAGACTGTCTGGTTTGCCCTAGGTCAGCCCAACAGCTGGTGGACATGCTCACCTGGTCCAGCTCCCTTCTCCTGTTCAGGAAGACAGTAAGGGGCAAGGGGCGGTGCCTAGCACATAGAGCCAGGCAGCTAAAAGCTAATCATTCCATTGTAGAGAAGCATTCCAGAGGACTGTGTGTAGTTAACATGAGTCAGTCAAGGAAACACATGCCAGGTAAACGCAATTCACACAGTCCAACATGGTGGCAGGGCTTCTGCATCCATCCCAGGACATCTGGTACAAAGATCAACTTTTCTGAGAACTCTTAAGATCATCAGCCTTCTCACCCTGTTGATCCTACAGCGGCTAACTCGTCTTCCCTCTGATCGACTGCCTGTTATTTCTACGTGAGTTCCACTCAGAAATCAGGCTGCAGGAAGGGAGCAAGCAAAATGGGGTCCATTTTCCTAGGCTAGCATGCCCTCATCCAATTTCCACCACAGTCCCGGCCTTCTCTTCTCCCAGGAAGCTAACAGGTAGGGGATCAGACTCATCACCTTCCCCAACAATATCCACTGAGGTCATCAGTAGGGGCGGCACTTTACTAGAACTCAGAAAGAAAAGGACAAAGAAGTGCAGGGGATACTTACGGTCTTACCCTAGACACTCCATGTAGAAATCATAGGCAAATATTTCCTCATAAGTTACATTAAAAAAAGAATTACTAAAAGAACTTCATCAGCATTATAAATTATTCATCTCTTTAAATACAGGTAGTTTTCTTAATAAAAAAATTTTTTTTAAGGATGTAATAAGATTCTACCTAAAAGGAGGCTTAATTCAGAGACCTGGGACTGACAGTTGCACACTTGCTAACATTTGAGCTCTTCCGGTGGCCTTTCTCCTCTTCAACTTCAGAAGGTACAGAGAGTTGAAGGTAAATCATCTGCCTAAGTAACAGTTACTAGGAATTCAGAAAAACACAACAATCCAGCGGAAAAAACTCCTGTTTCTCGACTTCACTTTCTGAAAGTTTCGTAAACATACGCAACTCGCAATTGCCACTTTCCTCCTCTTTGAATCTAAGGACCTTTGCCAGTGTAAGAAGGCATGATGCAGAAGGAGATTCCTGAGGGATGGCTCAGCAAGTGAAAGTCATGTAAATGATTCAGAAGTGAGATACACAGGGGCTGAAATAGATTCAAATGCATTAGGTGCCCTATACTCTGTAACTCTCCCTGGTTGTGAACACTGTCAGCAACAGAGACCTGGTCTTTGGCTGAAGCGCACCCACAGTGGGGCTCCGGGGAGGAAGGGAGCTGCTAGGGAGCTGGCAGGGCCCTGGGGGCAGCGCTTACCCGATGGAGTGAGACCTGCAGCCGGAGCAGCACAGGAGAGAAGAGCAGGAGCAGTGTTAGCACATCAGGATGCAAGGAACCGGCCTCACTGCCCACTGTCCCCTCTTTGAAGAGCCCCAAGGAAAAGACGAGGGGACCCCATTTGTTACTCTTTTTGAGTACACTGACTTTTTAATGTCTTCACAATTACTTTACCAACCTACCGTATGTGCGCTTCTCACTATTTTTCTCACGGACATATAGAGGTGGCTGGATTCTCTAATAAAGTCACACGCCTCCTCCAAAGATTTCCTCTCCACTAGATCACACGCAGTTTGAACAAATTCACCGAGAAGTCCCAAGAAGATGACAACATTATTAATATAAAAGTGATTCTAATAGCTTGCATTTCTTCAGAGTACTTTCATAAATGTGACCTTATTTTAACTTCAGAGAAAACAGTCTAGTTAGGTAGCTATTAACCATGTTACCTGACAGGTGGAGAAGAAGCCAGAGCAATTCCGTGACGAGGCTCAGGGGCCTTCACTTAGTGGCCGTCAGGAGAAAATGAGAACCTTAGCTCAGGAAATCTTATTTATTTTTATAAAACATCTAAATTAAATCCTAACATAGTGCTTTTCATCCAGTTATTAAAAGGCCCAAATGCTAGGTTTTCAAAACCTGTAAGCATTAACTTTTAATTATTTTAAAGAAAAACTGAGAGGGGATTCCCTGGAGGTCCAGTGGTTAGGACTCTGAGCTCTTACTGCCAAGGGCCAGAGTTCGATCCCTGTTCGGGGAACTAGGATCCCGTAAGCCTCGCGGTGCAGCCAACAACAACAACAACAACAACAACCAAAAAAAAAACTCCACAAAACTGAGAGGTACTGTTTTTCTTCTCAGGTATCTGAATTTTTCTGTCAATCTTTTTGAAGAAGTTCAGAAATTTGTTCCCAGAATTCACAAAAGAATTTTATGGTATAACCAACAAAATATAAAATAATATGATACTTTCAAACTGAAAAGGGGTTCAAAGTAAAATGCCTGTGATAAAATTTTAAAATTTCCCCACTATCATTTTATAAATTGGCAAATTAATTTGAACAAAAAATTTAAAACTTACTAATTGTTCTCTTTTGAGAATCGTTATTATATTAAACTTAAATACTTTTCAAATATGACTTTTACATATATTACTTGTTCTAGTATAAAAGTAACAATTCTTTGTAAAACTTTCTGCTTTCAGAGAGAGTTATCTTCATTTATTTCAAATGTTAGATATTATAGTTTGAGAAAAATATAGGCCTGAAAATATAGGTCTACAAACTATTACAGGCCCATATTTGAATGTGGACTACATGTCCCAATATTTTTAGTCACAGTTTGTAATGGAAGTTTTGTATCCTCTACACAGAGCCATAATTAATGAAAAGTTTGGAACTCCTGGGAAACAGGTTATCCATTGTGCTAAAACAAAGCCACACTGAAACAGGAGGAAAGGCAGTCAACGCAACCTTGATATTATGCCCAGCTCTTGTAGGAACATGAGTATGTCAACATGCTGCACGTGTGAAACACAGTCCTCGTTCTCTACAACTTATGAAACACACTGCACTCCTGTTCACGGACTCTCCCAATTTCAGTCCTGTGGGGTCACCTTGTAACTGAGACAGTCACTTAGTAAAGGTAAAAACTGGCATTTATTGAGTGCTTAATACATAGCAGGCTCTCTTTTGCTACGTGTATAATAAACTGAAGACATTGTTACTTTTATCCCCATTTATAACTGAGAACAGCCACAGATTCCTAGACGCCACCCAAGACCTACTGAGGTGCCACCTTGGAGAGAGAGGTGGAATCTGGGAATATGCACTTGTCAAGCTTCAGAGGTGTCCCTAAGGTCTGCTACCGTTAGAGAAACACCATTCTAGTCGGCAGTATGATGCCACTGAATCCCAGTGTTCAAGTGAAAGGTTTCAACTAAGTATGTGGAGAACAAACTTTATAAACATGACAAAATATATTTTCTTGGATATAACTGGTGATAAGGTCTTTCCTGTTTTAAGGAGTTATTTAATTAGTTTAGATAAATGTTTTAATGCCACTGAAATGACTGCACATTTTTATATAATAAAGTTAGGGTTAATTCATAATCCAGAATACTTACCGTTCATCACACACTGCCTCTGAAGAATTTTAACTGCTTTTTGTTATTGCTTTATTAGCAAAAATGAAGATAAAGCAATGTACTCAGATTCATGCACATGTACTTAACTCTAGCCTCATGAATGCCAAGTTGTTAAGATGATGCATGAATTTGGGGCACAATCCAGTAATTTTTGACGTCAAAAAATAACTTAAACACAAAGATATAAATATTTGCCTCTAGGTATCAAAGCTGCAGGGTAACAAAGAAAGAAATAGTTTAAGAATCCAGTAAAATAATACACACATATTTTTTAAAAAGAAGAAATATAAAATGTACTTGAGAAGTTTTTAAAAAGTGAATTTGATTTCTAGAGAGAAAAATGACATTGATTTATACAGAAAAATCTCCTAAACATATCAGCCAAATTCAAAATAAACTATGAGAGGTATTTAAAGAAGCAAAAAAAATGAGAGTAACAACTCTATGTAAGATAACTTCCTAGTACATAATATGAAAAATAAAAATGGTCAATACCACATTGTTTTCCTGGTGCCTATAGTGAGGTCATTTGGTTCTCAGTTCAAAATCTTGATATTCACCCTGATTTTATATAACAAATACTGAAAATAACCAAAATGAACAAAGGGACTGGTTTAAAAATTTTGCTACAGCTATGCACTGGAAGATAATACAGCCATTAAAAATGAAGATGTAAGGACTTCCCTGGTGGTGCACTGGTTTGGAGTCCACCTGCCAATGCAGGAGACATGGGTTCGATCCCTGCTCTGGGAGGATCCCATGTGCCGTGGAGCAACTGGGCCCATGGGCCACAACTACTGAGCCTTTGAGCCTCGAGCCCGTGCTCTGCAGCGGGAGAGGCCACCGCAGTGAGAAGCCTGCACACCACAACGAGAAGTGGCCCCTGCTCTCCACAACTAGAGAAGGCCTGTGTGCAGTAACAAAGACCCGATGCAGACAAAAATAAATAAATAATTTTTTAAAAAATGAAGATGCAATAAACATTTATTAACATATTCACAATATATTGCTAAAGTAAAGAAAGAATACTACCAGGAGCATACACTATATGGTACCTTTTTAGAATAAAAGAATAAATATCTATGCATTTAGCATAGAAAAAATACATGTACTAGTTGGATATATACAAAAATGTAACCAAGAATAGTTTATCAGAGAATATTCCACTGAAGGCATATTTTAACTTATTGTTTAAATTACAGTGATTAAAATTCAGTGTGTGCTGCAGTCTTTTGAAATCTCTCCTTATTACTGGTGATTAAAGGCACCCTCTATCTTCTATTTCTACTAGGTCAGGTCCTAGTGGAAAGGGCATCTCTGGGACCAGGCCCACTAAGCTGACCTTCAGGCAGAAAATGTCCCAATATAAAAATGTATCTCAGTCACCAATACTATCAGCCACATAAAATTTTAATCCAACTTAAAAAAAAAAGAATGTGTTAGGAAGACCAGTTGATATATATATATATAATGCTCCCCTTCTCTCAGAAAGCCAAAGGCTTAGCCCCATTCCCGTGGTTCTTTCCCACAGTACCTCATGTCTCCAAACTTCTTGCTGATGGCCGTCCCAACGTTGCTGAAAGCTGCAGTTGCCTTCTGCCCTGCGTGACTCAGAGTTTCATGTGTTTTCTTGTAGCTAGAAATAAAACAAAAAATAAAACAGAGAAAGATAATATCATGATTTCCCATAAAACATTCATCGTACTTCTCTCTCCTGACTTTGAAAACTCCCTTTCCAAGCCAGATTTAGGAAGATGATCCACAGAAGTAATTGTTTCTATTCATTGTTTGGGGAGGATGGGTTGGTGGCCGCTCATCAGAGGGAAACTCAGACCATTAAATCTGAATTCAGGAAAAATATACATATATAAGTCCAGATCTGAATGTGCAGATCTTTAATCACAAATAGTGGAACTGCTCTGAGAATAGAGAGTTATTCTTAAAGAGATGTATTAACTCTATGAAGTGATGATGAAAGCTCTAGCCATCAATGGTAACACGAATTAGAAAATGTATATTTCAAAGGGAAATTTAAGCTTTTACTGCTTATGTGGGTAAAAGTAACCATAAAATGGCAAAATAGAACTAGTTACTTAATTTTCAAATACTTAGAGCTGGGAATAAGAAGGGTGCATAATCTTAATATAGTTACTTTTTTAAAAACATTTTTAGGAATATAGTACTGCAATGATCTGTTCACAAACCTATGTCCCCACAAGGCTGACTCCCTGAGGGCAAGGAAGCCATTCATCTTTGTGTCCCCAGTATGTGGCAGAGGGATACAGGGGAAACTTAATAAATATTAGAGGAATGAATCAATGATCAAAGAGGAAGCTCCCCTGTAGCTCTGAACTAGGAGTCATGACAGTAAGAACAATGCAGTGTGATGGGTTATAGAGAGAGAATGGACGGACTTGACAGGAGGTTATAAGTGACAAATGGAACAAGACGAATAAATTGGTTTAAGGTTTTGAGCATAGTGACAGGAAAGGCGGTGGTGTATCCACTGGGCTAGGAAATTTCTAAGTGTTAACTAATAAAGTAGAAAACAAAAGGCACCTAATCTGAGGGAATAAAAAGAAATCAGCCGAAAGTTTTGTACACCATTTCACAGTATATGTAAGTCAAGTCATTATGCTATACAGCTTAAACTTATACAGTGTTGTATGTATTATATTTAATTTAATATATCTCAATAAAACTGAAACAAACCAAACCAAAAAGTGTTCAACTGATTTTTAAAAAATAAACGAATTCTTTTTTTTTAACATCTTTATTGGAGTATAATTGCTTTACAATGGTTTCTGCTTTATAACAAAGAGAATCAGCTCTACACATACATATATCCCCATATCTCCTCCCTCTTGTGTCTCCTTCCCACCCTCCCTATCCCACCCCTCTAGGTGGTCACAAAGCACCGAGCTGATCTCCCTGTGCTATGCGGCTGCTATGTGGCTGCTTCCCACTATAAACTAATTCTTATAATGCACATACCATCTTCTTCCCATATATGTTGCTCCCAGGTAAATTCCCCCAAAGCTCCTTGCTTTAGCCTAGAACACTTGCATGCATATGGTACATCTAAGAAGACTATGCCCTGTGACATTCATTGTGTAGGAACTTCCGTTATCCCTCCCACCCTTCCACTTCCCACAAATCATCCGGCCCTAAATATACTATCAGACTCTACACAAATGCTTTAAAACGTGCTCCTTGGTCTTCCTTGGGACTGAAATCACTTCATTAACATGGTATTCTATTATTCCTTTTTTGTTAGCAGGAAGGAATGAGTCTGATATTATCAGCACCGTATGTTATTTATTTACACAATGCCTGTTTTTCAGGAAGTGTAAAAATCCAGTATTATCTAGATGATAAAACCAAACCAAATATTCATTTACTAAACAGACATTTTCTAGGGAATAGGGAAAGACTGACAGGAAAAAGGGTCAAAGCAGAATTTGGTGAACGGGAGGTAATTTGTCTCTGGGGAGAGGTATGTGATTAGGGGAGGTGGACCCCAGACGGCTCTGGGTCAAGCAGCAAATGAGAAGTGGGAAGATGAAAGAAAGGAACAGCTTTTAGAATGTTTGCTTAATTTTGTTCGCTGCCAAGTTACAAAAATATCAGTTATTCAAATTACAACTTTCTTTTTACATTTCACTATAGGATGTTAGGTTTTAATTATGGCGGGAGAATATTTTTGATCATGTGAAATCATGGAATTGCAGGCAGATTACACATAAAATAAAATATTAACCTCTAACTTCTTATTAGTGATAAGGCAGTTAATATAGCACTAAATGTGGACCAGAAATTAAAACCTCCATCATTATTACAAGAATTCAGGAGATGTGATCTTGAAATGGCACATGCTGAGAATCCTTCAGAAGAAACATGCTACTAAACAGGTTCCCAAAGCAGTGTCCTGATGCTTGGATTAACTAGGCGTAGAGATAGCCTTTAAAACAAAGGTTTAAAGGTAGTAGTTTTAGCCTTAAAAACAAAAGGATTTATTTACAAATAAACAAAGAAAAATGTGGAATTGCTATTCCAGTTATATTTTTAGGATGCTGACAAAGTTTTCACAAAGCAGTAACCCGGCCATGAAATCAGATCTGTAGAGGGAACTCCCTGGCGGTCCAGTGGCTACGATTCTGTGCTTTCAATGCCGAGGGCGCGGGTTCGATCCCTGGTTGGGGAACTAAGATCCCACAAGCTGCACAGCATGGCCCAAAAAAACCCCAAAAATCAGATCTATGGAAAATGGGCTGCAAAACATGAAATCCATACATGATGGAAGTGAGGAAGACACTATATTATACACAGATGAAACATGGTCTTGCACTATGGACTGGAATTTAGAATTAGGCTCAGTTCTAATTAGCAAGGAAAACATTTCCCTATGCAAAAGTTTCTCAGGCATATTGGTGAGGAAATAATCCATTAAATAACCCAAAGAGGAGACTTTGTATCTTCTCTTCCCCTCTATTCCTTTCACACTCCATAGCCAACCCGTCAAGAAACCCTGCTAGTTCAGCCCTCCAAACAGATCTCGAATCTGTCTACTGTCTCACCACCTCTACTGGTCTCTGCCTTAGTTCAATTCACCATCATCACTCACCTGGGGTCTTGGCCAAGTGAGTGTCAGAGGAACAGAGTTGGGTTCTGGGGGGAAATGGGCACAGAAGAGGGAATCAAGGAAGGCCAAGGGAAGACAGTCAATCGGGTATCCACTCAGTACTGCATCTGTAAGGCCTGAAAGGTGACTCAAGGGAAAAGTAAAAAATTACTCTGGCACACTGTGGTCTTTGCATGAGGCTGGGACTGGGTACCAGTTAGAGAATTCCTTCTTGTGTTGGTCCTGCATTTCTTTCAGGAATTTCTTGCAATTAAAGCAAATATTTAACTTACTTGTAAACTTTCCACGTAGTTTAACTTTTATATATTTGAGAATGCTTTGAATTTTGAGGTAAGAAGTGACTTTTGAACACGTTTTGTGTGTGTGTGTGTGTGTGTGTGTGTGTGTGTGTGTGTGAGACATTCTAAATTTAATGGCTTCATTTAAAAATAGCTAGTCAGGGAGAAGTACAGTTAGCCCGCCGCGTCTGTGGGTTCTGCATCTGCGCATTCAACCAACCACAGATGGAAAACGTTCAGGAAAAAAATTCCAGGAAGTTCTAAAAAGCAAAACTTGAATTTGCCATCAGTGGGTAACTATTTCCATAGCATTTACACTGTATTTAGAACTATTTACACCGCATTAGGTATTATAAGTAATCTAGAGATGATTTCATGTGTATGGGAGGGTGCATATAGGTCATATGCAAATACTACACCATTTTATATAAGGGACTCGAGCATCCACGGATTTTGGTATCTGCATGGGTCCTGGGACAAAACCCCCGCAGATACCTAGGGGTGACTCTACATATAGTAAGCAATAAGTGTTAGCACACTATGTTTTAAACACGCTTCTGTATCAAAATGTGAGACAGGTGTTTACAGGCATCTGACTACTTTAGTGAGGTATTAGGGACATTTAAGTCCTCACCATGAAAAATGCATCTCTATATCTATGTGAAATTTCAAAGTTAAAATTCAAACGTATGGATAGCTCAATGGAGTGTTAAAGATTTTAGGGACTGTTAACTCTTTATTTCTGGGAATTATAAAATGTTAAATCTGAAAAGCACTAGAGCCCGATCCCTTAAGACTACAGATGATGAAACTGAGGCCCAGAAGAGCTGAGTGACTCTTTAATGACAGAGGTAGGGTTAGAGTAGGCAGTGTGCCTGCCTTCTACCAGAGTGTCTTGTTGCCTAGGAGATGACAAGGGTGAATTAGATCAACTCCAGTGTTTGTGGAGAGAAATAATAATACTATATTTCGAGAAATTTTAAGATGCACATTTTCTACGCACACTTTTAGGCCTCTTCCCCTAGGCTAACCACTACATTTCTTGAAAACGATTAGTAGTCCTTATATACATTACTTAGAGACCAATAATTGAGGACAAGAGATTTCTAGGGGTTAGGCAATGAGAGAGGGTTATACATGGGGAAGTGAGCTCCACGAACAAAATAACTAGGGAACCCATGAGAAATAGGTCAGCAGGCTCAGAGCATTTAAAAGCTCCAAGGAGTACCACACACATTACAGCCTAAGTGAAGGGTCCCTCTGGAGTTGTGCACTGCACAGACCCTGTACCTTATGGTGCATCCTAACTGGGCTTGATCTTAAAACTGAATAAGTAATATACATCCTCATCCAGAGGCTAGGAGCCTGTGTCTTGAAACAATGCTCTTCTGTCAGGCCACAGATAACCCCCAAGGAAGTCGGTGTATTTGCATTTTACTCCCTTTATTGTGCCATGAAATTCTGTACATAGTTTGTACTACTAATACTGAAAACTGTTTTTTCAACTCTACCACATAAAATTATGTTCAACAGTATTCAAATAATGAAAAACAATTTAAATACTAACATTCTGATTGACTGACAACCTTATAATTTAAATGGAAGTGGTATTTAGCATTTTACATTACTAGCATCTCTTATTTTAAGCTAAAGATAAATTATACCATTGCTGAGTTCCATAATTGATAGAGCGGACAACTAACACATTTTCCTTAA